ATGTTTCAGTGACATTGAAAGACTCACCTTTGACTCATCGCCCATTTGTCAACCAGAACTTCTCTGATATCTGAGTTTGTCAAGGTGCTACTCTTCGACCCTGATGACCTTCCCGCCCCCTTCCTTTTCCTCCTACTCTGGTCACTCCCTTCAATGCCTTCTTCTATGTTGGTCTTACTGATCTCAAAGGATGTGGGATGTATTTGTATTATCACATAATCACGTTAAATTATGGTTTTTCTGTGAATTTTTTAAGAGCATATTTTGAATTCTATTGTTGGTATTTCCAGCAAGAAGCATAGAGCACATGATAGGTGCTTATTAAATGTTTGATGAATACATAAATGAATAAATACCTGTAAAACATTTAATGGCACAGCAGCTGTTGCTTCTGTCACTTCTCATGTGTCTCAGTGGAGTTCTTTTTTTGCATTCGAACACTATTCCCACTGAGAAGTAAACAACCTCCTTTTTACCTTTTCCCTTAGGAGATTCCAAGGGTGTCATATGTTACCTATGGCTTGGAAATAACTCTTTATCCATTGTCCTTTCTGCTTCTTTACTTTAGAAAATAGTTCTACTTTGTATTAGAATTCTCCTCTGATTGGGAATCCACACCAAAAAGACTTTAATTCCTGAGAGTGATTATGAAAAATTTCACTGAAGGATTTACTCTATGCTGGCTACTGTGCTAGGAATTTTCAACGCATTTTCTCATTTAATCCTCAGACTAATCTCCATTTTAAAAAGCATTATTTTTTATTTTTAAAATGTAGATGCTGAGGCTTAGAGGTTGAGTAACTTGCCCAAGACCATTTCCCTTATACGTGGAAAAGTCCAAATTTGAAGCCAGATTCATCTGAATAATAATCCACCCCAGGAGGAGCCATGAGAGCACTGTGTTTCAGCAGCTTTCTGAGTGCAGCACAGGGATGGTTCTCTGGGCACCAGGTCCACTGGAAAAGCAGGTATGAGCACATGGCCATGATTCCTGTGCAGGATGCTCTGATTTCAGCTGGGGTCTGTCGATGTGGTGATGAGGACAAAGAAAAGCAGAGAGACTGTGAACATATTTAGAACATAAAATTTGAGAAATTTTGAGATAGATTAGATGCAGGAGGTTAGGCAAGGGAAGACTTGCTGGCAACTTTCTAGTACCTACTTGGTTGCCTGGGTGTATGGGGGCATCATTCACTCAATAGAAAATTCTAGAAAGGAAACAGGAATTGGTGAGAAGATAGTGAGTGCAGTTAGGAGGATGTACTCAAGAGTGTCTAAGTAGAACTTCTAGTCGACATTTGCATATATGAGCCTGAAATTCAGAGGGAATGACCTGAATCTTCTATAGGGCCATTTGTGCTGTGTGGTCATTTGATTTAAAGTTCTTTTTAGCTATTAAAACTTTTACACTTAATAATAGGAGGAAATCAAGGGAGTGAATCAGAGCTTCTTAGAGAAGCGTGTTCCATATTATCCTGTTAAATGCTTGGGTGAGGTTTTCCTCTTTACTGCATCTTTCCATTGCCTAAAATCATTCTGCATCATTAAATTTATTGCATTGCATGTTGCTCATTGTCTGGAAACAAATAGCTGATTGTGTCATCTCTACTTCCATAGTATCAAACTTATCTTGGTTGTGAGATGAACGATCCACCTCCATGAATTATCTCCAACTGTCTCCTTGAACATATATGCCATAATATCTATTTTTCTTCTACATCATCTTCTAATTTCAAAGAATTATCATTTTTGCTCTAATTAAACATTTGGCCCTTCACTACTGCCTTGTTTATAATCCTGGACACAAATGAAAATATCATGATTAAATAAATCTTAGGAGTCCCAGCTCAGATTATCTCAACAAGGAAACTGTAAAGTGCGCTAAGACAAAAAGAAATACAGGATGGAAATGAGAGATAAAAAGCATTATCTCACTGAACAAAGGAAAGAAGACAGGAAAGCCAAAATGTGCTGACTACAGATCTCTTGCCCTTAAGCTGAGTGTTCGGTGTGGCTTCCTTCATGGAATAGAAGGTTGCAAGGAATTTTGGCCTCCCAGCATTTCAACGCTCTTTATATGTTTGTGATTCCCCCACTCTCCATCACATTATAAAGAACTGCCTGCTGCTAGAAAGCTGAAAACATCACAGTTGTTCTCCTAGACCCAGGAAGCTAAGGAGTGGGCACGTGACCCAGACCTTGGCAATGAGAGATAGCCACGCCACACTCCAAGCTGGATGCTGCTAACATGGAAAAGGAGGGACAGCATGGACTCTGTTCTGGTGAGAATGGCAGCAGCAACATCGCGTTTTCTGAGGCAGTACAAAGTGGCTCTGGGGACTGAGTGTGTGTCTACTGCCCATGAGTTGGAACCACCATTGTGGACTCCGTGTCCAGCTCTTGCTGCAGTTGTGTCTTCATCAGACCAGCTCTGCCATATGCGGTTTTGGACACTGCTTTTGTTTGCAAAGCTTCCATGCCTGGCCCTTCTAGAGGTTTTGTAAGCTACCCAATACCCTTTCATTAAAACTATTCTTTGCTCACGTTAGCTAGAGATGTTGTTTGTTGCTTGCAACTGAGTGATCCATCCCAATTCCACGTGATGTACTACATTTTAACTATCTCAGCACTCTGTCCTCCTATAGCTCTTCTCCAAGAATGTCATTAGAATGCATTTCATTGTGTCTGTATTATATTTACATATTTTGTTAAAAACAGATTTTTGAGTGCAGAGACTGTATTTTATTCATTTTCATCCTCTGCTAATGCCTCATTCCAAATGCTTTGCACATGGTAAAGATTATGTATGAAATTGACTTGAGCAGGATGTAAATATACCTTTATAGCTGCATGGGTATGACATGGGCTAAACCCACCCCTGGCAGTGGACTTTGCAACTCTGAAAAACCCTGGAAAGAACAGGATATCCTCTCATAGTCAAGACTTAGGCACTATCACGTTCCTTCTGAGGCTTTGTCTGTTAGGTCTGGGACACTGGTCAGTAATAGCCAGAGTGATGGTGGCAATCTGTCCTCTAAGAGCCCCCCCATCAGAGTCCATTCACTGAACAATAAGAGTTTGGATCACAGTGTTTACTGGGGCTTCTGGTGAGTTACGATAGTGGACCCAATGTGATTCCTTTTTTCAGAAGCTTCTTTCCTTGTTTAAAAAAAGAAAAAATAGTCCCTAGGACCAGCAACATGTTGTCTTATGTCCATGGATCTCTTTCCTTCATGCACATGAAAAACAAACAAACCTATGTTTAGTTTGCATCTATTTCTTATACAGGCATGTCCACCAGCCTAATTTTACATAATGCTTATTGAACATGTGTATAATATGGTACCTGCAGTCATATTTCACTGTTATTTGGCAGGAGTCTAGTGATCATATCTCTATTAATTTATAACCAGGAAACCTGAAACTGACCAAAGATGTAACTTATGAGATATACTTTATGAATTAGCTTGATTATATCTATGGTTGGATATAACCTAAGATAGGTGGTAAAAGGGAAAGAAGTTCAATTCATGTTGACCGTAGATATAACTCGTGCTAATTCATGAAGTTGATTACTGGTATTAACATGTACTTGCTTCTCAGTTTTAGTTGTGGTCTTGATCCCTTAACTGCACAAAAGTCTTAAAGCAATATATGAATTACACTTCTACTCTTCCTCTTACCTGTACATTATGACCTAGCAAAGAACATTATATATTTGTCAAGTACAATGATCGTGGCTTCTTTTGGTGGAGAGATAAATTTATTTTTAAAAAACTGTAGGAACTTTTGTAATTTCTCCATCTCTCATAGCCCTATTGTTAAGTGCAAATTTGCCTTTATCTAACTAGGGTCTTCAGTATACAGTTTAAGAGTATAGTATAGTGTAATAATTAAAATATAGCCCCTGATATCAGACTGCTAGTGATCAAATTCCAGCTTTACCATTGAATAGTTTTGAATTATTAATTCCCTTGATGTCCTGATCTGTGAAAAGAGCATAATGACCTATATCGGTGTGGTGAGGAGTAAGTTAATTTTCACATATGGAGACTTAGAACAGAGCATGGTTCTTAATAAGACCTCAATCAGTGTTACCTATTATTGTCCAATTTTCCTGTTGTTTATCTTATTTGCAACTGAAAAGATAAGGCCATTCATTAGGTCTTCTAAAACTACAGACATTGGAATTCAGAAGGAGCAAAACACTAACATTGAAGCATTAAGCCTCTTAGCATACATAATAGGTCTGCAAGATGTTAAGTTACAAATTAATTTTTAAAACTTAGTAAAGTCACCAGTCATTATTAATTAACTTCTATTCCACTCAAGCATTGTTTTGTAGACAAATAGATTTTTGTCAATTTAGATGCTAGCTTTTTTGTAGATCATGAACATATGACTCAAAGTGAAATCATGCCATTTTAGATATTAGACTTGGAAGGGTCTTGGATAGTAGATGTTCTCATTTTCTGTCTGAAAAGGAAACACATATGCCCAAGGTCTCACAATACTTAGGAGTTACAAGCCCAATAAGATCCATATTTTAAGTAGCTGTAAGACTAACTGGAAAAAAGGGAGTTTGCTCTCTTGGACTGTAAGGTTCTAGTAACTTACAGGACACACACAAATTCAAAAATGTAATCTGCAAGAAAGCAGTATATAAAAATAGACAAAGTTAGACTGCTATTCAAAATATGTCTTACAAAGTAAAATTCATATTATAAGGGAAAAATCATTTATTTAACTAAATTTCAGAGGTCACTAACAATTTAATCTTAAGAGTTTATTATTCTTGTTACTCAGGTCTCAGGGCAAATGTCACTGCTTCAGAGAGGACATCCCTAATCCATCCTAGCTAAAGAGCTCCCTCCTTTAGTCACTCTTTACCCTTAATAGCTTTTATTTTCTTCATATTTTATACCAAAAATTATATTCTTCCTCTCTCTCTCTCCCTCTTCTGTACTAGAATGTAAATTCCATAAGGATATAAAGCATTTGTTTTAATGGAACACTACAGGAATTTGCGTGTCCATCCATATGCAGGTGCCATGCTTATATTCTCTGTATCGTTCCAGTTTTAGTATATGTGCTGCCAAAGCAGGCAATGACACTTTGTTTAATATTCTATTTCTGTGTGTTAGAATCATGCCTGGCACATAACAGTCTCTCAGTAAACATAGATTCGTTTGATCAAATGAATACATGAAGGCCCTGCTAAAGAAGCTTGATTTGACTTTGAGATTCTAATAAGGACAGTTGAAGAATTTTTTGCAGCAGAGTAATATGATCACATTTACATGTTGGAAGGGCACTCTGGAAGCATTATGAGCGTACCATCTCCAGTAGCAATCAGAAAATTGAATTTAGTTTTGGATTTCATTTGACAGCATTCGCAAATGTCATTTGGAGCAAAGAAAGGCATGAGATTTAAAAATAATTGGAAATCAGGAGAATAAAAGAAGAAAACAGAAAGAGGAGAAAAAGAAGAGGGAAAAAAAGGATACAAATTAAAGGTTTGTTAAAACAAATGCCTAGGAAAGTTAACTCTAGACAACCAAGCAGTTACATCTCAATGAGAGGGAGAGACTTGGAGAGGCAGCAAAGGTTAAATGGACTAAAAGAATTTCCTGGCACAAGTTTTGGGTTATGAGATGCTCTATCTCTGGATATCAGTTTGGATCCTTATTATTTTCAGAGCTACTTCACCATCTTTTCACCTGTGGTTTTCGTGAAATTTTGTACTAATATATGGATTTAGCGACCCAGAAAGTTGCTTGTGTCTTGGGAAATCCTCGAAGGTCATATATAAGCACCCAGGCAAACTGCTGGTGGGATTGGGTGATGGTGCAAATGAACTGAGCTGACTTTCTGTGTCTTTCAATATAATATTGGTGACTGTTCACCACAGCAGAGAGTAACAGGAACTCTTAGCATGCTGAATTTTATTCTAGAATCTCAGGTGTCGAAAAGTAGAGGTCATAAAATTAACTCTCAGTTAATGGAAGAAGAACAGTGTCATGAATCACACCACATGGTAGATCATTTGAAAATTGCTTATAAAAATGGGACTTTGGAATGTACTCTTTGACTTCTTTGATAGAGGATTTACATCTTCTTTGCTTTGCTTAAGCTAATAGTAAAATTAGTTTGTCGTCCTTCCGCATGGGAAGATATTTGGCAGCAGTTGGATGGGAGAAGAGTAGGAGAAAAGGAAAGGCAAAGTATATGGGGGGAGAGAAGGAGTTGAAAAGCACGTTGGCTGGCTGGAAATTTAGGCCAGGGAAAAAGCTTGCCACATGTAACCTGTATGGTGCAAACCCATACGTACACAATGAAAAATGATATAATTAAAGGAACCAAGCCTGATAGAATCAGCATTCAATAAATATTTATTGAATGATTAAAAAGATGTTTTTTTCTTTGCATTTGAAGCAAGGATTTCTTATCTTATTGGAAATCTGCAAATGGTTTATTCAGCTTTTATTGGATGCTGTCTTAAGAAGGCACAGAGATCCTCTTCCCCTGCTATTTATCTTCCTCTCATTACTCTTCAGACTGACCCCGAAGTAGTCAAAAAAAAAAAAAATGCTTTTAGGCCTTGAGTATGAAACCAGCTGTTGCAGCCATGCAACCAGAAGTTAATACAGCCATTTTTCTTCAAAAGCAATGTGTATTGGCTCTTAGGTATACGTGTTTAGAAGATTGGAGAATGAGTTACTTTAGTCTGAGGACACCTGCTCTTGAATGCCTTGCCATTTTTGATACTTGTCGGTCCAATATGTGCACAGTTAGTTACCATTGGTAAAGCTCTTGGCCTAATCTCTGCTGCCCTGCTACTTCTGACAAGGGGCAGGTCTATCTCCTCCAGGCTTATTAGAGGATGGTACTTTGGCTAGCTCTCCAGCACAGCCTGAGGCACTGGAATACTCAGCTAGCCCATGCTGCCGCTCTTGTACTCATTGGGACTGATTGATAAAGTGATCCAGATCTCACAGGATCTGCAGCTGTGAGAACAACTGCACCACACCCTGCCTGAAGTGGCGTGAGATTTGAAGACTTCATGTCTTCTTTGCCAGGGATCCTCCATTCTCTTTTCCACTAGACTTCAGCAGAACCAAGACATTAATGCTTGCTTGTGTTTGTATCCACATGGTGCGAATCTATAACTGCATGTAAATAGACTAATCTTGGAGAGAATCTATTTTGCATCTCCATCATCAGACTATACAAGCATGTGTTCTAAGCTACTGTGTCTCATATATCTCACATACACCTATCTCTTTGTGTTGTGGCAGTAGAGTATCAAACAAATAGGGGAAAGGCACACAGGAAACAGTTCTGACACCATCCAATCACCCTAGGGATGTCTGTACTACTCCAAAAATTGTGATCTAGCAACCATATTAAAATAAATTTTAGAGATCTCAATTAAGAACACTCATTGTTCTAGATTATTTTCATTTATTACTTCCAAACTGCTGATGGAGTACAGAAACAAAAACCAAAGTCCAGGTATCTCTGTGACATTTGTTAATGTCCTTTTATGTCAGAGAGTGCTCGCTGGTATTCCTTATTGCTAATAAAATATGGGCTCCATTTATATTGGTAATTGTGTTAGACTGCATGTAACAGAAATTTAACCTCAGTGGTTTAATAGAGTAGGGTTTTATTTTTCTTACATACTCAAGTATGGAGGTACAAATTCTAGTTCTTTAGGGTAGCTCCATGATGTTTTCTAGACCCCAAGCTCTACCTACCTTTCTGCTTTGACTCCCTTACTGCTTGACTTTCTTCCAAGATGGCTTTTTTTTTTTTTTTTTTTTTTAATTTGAGCATCACGTCCAATTCCAAGAAAAAAGAGCAGAGAGTGTGGGAAGAGGGAAGATAAAAAGCAAAAGTGATAAGCTGGCTGAGTTTGTCTTTTTTTTTTTTTTTTTCGGGAAGGTAATACGTTTCATAAAATCTTAATTGAGTATATTTCTGCTTCCATTTCTTTGGTCAGAACAGGAGCAAATGGCCACATTTTGCAAAGTAGGTTACCAAAGTTGATAATTTTTTTTCTTGCTGTTTCAGACAAATCTAGGGCCCTATTGGTGAAAATATAGATAACATCGTATTGGTAAAGTTATTGGTTAGGCAGCTTATATTTTTGTCGTGCTATAATATATGGAATAAACAATTTTCTCAAATTCATACTCTACATGATTCATCGTCGAGGTTAATTCAAGCTTCTGTAAAATAAAGCAAACAGTTAACCAGATTCTAACAAACTTTTGTTGGTTCAGAGATGGTGTGGATATTAGACCTAGATCTCAAGGGCCTTATCTATTTTTCATCCCTACTAGACTGTGAGCTCTGGTGAAGGGTTAGGGAAGGCAGTGAGGAAGGGTAGGGTCTGTAGTTGTTTATTTTTCCCCAAGTACCTAATGCATCACATATAATAAGAGCTCAAAAGAACGCGTTTGGGAGGCAGAGGTGGGCAGATCGTGAAGTCAAGAGATCGAGACCATTTTGGCCAACATGGTGAAACCCCATCTCTAATAAAAATACAAAAAAATTAGCTGGGCATGATAGCAGTTCCTGTAGTTCCAGCTACTTGAGAGGCTGAGGCAGGAGAATAGCTTGGACCTGGGAGGCAAAGGTTACAGTCAGCCAAGATGGTGCCACTGCACTCCAGCCTGGCGCAGAGTGAGACTCTGTCTCAAAAACAAACAAACAAACAAACAAACAAAAACAAAAAAAACCCATGTTTAATGACGAGTGAATGGAGTAAAAGTCAGTAGATCTTGGGAGGATTTGGCATCATCACTGATTGACTACAAGATCTTGAGCACATGGCTTGACCTTTTCATTATCTGTTTTTCCCCAACTCTGAAATGGTGCCATTACATGCAAATGCCTCATGGGGCTGTAAAGAAGGTCAAATAAGATAATGCATGATAAAGAGTTTTTGCATAGTGTAGGTATGTACAGTTTGCAAAGTGCTTTCAGTTCTACTCCCCCTCTTGACTTTCTAGTCCTCATAGTTCCTCTTTAGCATTCCATTATTACCTCAGTCCCATCCCTTGCCTGTAGTAGAGAACGGCCATCACTGAATTGACTTCTGATAAGAAAACTAAAACTTGGATGTCTTGTCACTCATCTAAGCTCATATAAATTGTAAATGGCAAAGCTTGATGTTCAGGTTGGAGAAAAACAGCATGCAATAAGCCTTCATTATTTATAGCCTGCTCTTTTCAAAAAAGGATTTAAGGGGATGAGAAGTTGTTATTACTTTAATCTGGCCACTCTGAGAAACACATGCATGCAATAGCTTATAGATAGTTTAAAAGATAAAGTATCATTTAGTCTACTGAAGAAAAGATTGAAAGCCCTCATGAAGGGTTTTCAAGAATGTAAGGGAACCATGCATATAGGACGAAAGAGTTAGAGAATAATAAAAGTAGGTTAAGTACTGTTAAATAGTCAGGGTTTAAAAACTCTAAAATGGGTGAATAAGGTTACTTACTCTAGGAGTTTTAAAAACCAAAATAATTCTTATCTGTGGGAGATAGTTCAAGTACAGCATGCTAAGAATAGACCATGTGGTCTGCCTCCTTAAGTGTGCCTTTGAGCCTTATAATCTCTAAACTCTTAGAATTCATTATCACTTCTGCTTATTTACTTCAAAATAAGAACTGACACTTTACAATTTACAAAGTCTTTCACACATAGCCTCACATTTAATTCCCACAACAACCTTCTAATATATTATACACATTTCCCAGAAGAAGTAACTAACAAAACTAAAATTTGAGCCAAGTTCTTCTAAATCTAAATGTGATGCTCTTTTCTGGAAAATTCATCTCCCTCCTATTTCTATGTGGTCACATTGTGGCTGGAGAGCTGATGAATTTGTTGACTTTTACTTTAAATATGCTTGCTCTACAGTCCTGGGCTACAGTACAAGTTGGTTGGTGGATCCATTCTCTATCCAGTTGTTCGAGTCAGAGATGTTAAGACTCAAACTTGACTGTTTATTTTTCTTTCCCGTCTTTGCTCAATCATTAAGACCTGTTGATTTTAGCTTTTAAAGACATTTCAAACATTTCTCTTCCCTCC